GAAATTAGATTTTCTCTATATATTTAATGATAATAAAGCTTAATTTTGTGAAAGGAATAGTTTTGGAAATGGAATTTTTATCGACCGGGATTATTTTACACACCAGCTTGAATGCAATGGAAACATCAGTGAAATCTTATAATTGCATAAATAATCTTATCCAATCATTTTGGCTAATGTAATCTATTTATACATTGATTGGTAATTTTCTAACTATAATGTCGATTGTTGGTCAACGAAACACTAAATTTTTGCGTTTTTGGGAATAATGATTTTCCAAGTTCGGTTGAGTGCCCAGTGAAGTGTGAAGAGCGACCATGATGAAGTTCAGATCGCTGTTTCGCAGAGGCCAACAACCGCCGACGCAGTCGCAACAGCAACAGCAGCAACAGATCCCGCTGCGTCAGGCGCCAAGCGCCTCCTCGCTCGAGACCAAGAACGAGAATCCATCGGTAGGCAACTGGGGCTCCCTTGGTAAGGAAGGAGCTAAAGGGAACGCCAAGGGTAGTTACAATCCTAAAGGACCCAGCAAGGGGTCCAGGATGCAGGAGCTTGAACGTGAGATCGATGTGTTACGCAAGGAACGCGTACGACTAGAGTCGAATCTCCGAGAGGCATCTTGCGACACTCAAAATCTTCATGAATTACGTGCCGAACTCGCCTCTCTTAAGGTAATGTTCCGTTATTATTATCTACAAATAATTTTAAGTATATTTTCAGCACAAGTAAAATTTATTTTAGAAATTTAACAGGAATTTTGAGATCTTTATGTTAAATCGTTTGTATAGGAGTAATATTCAAGATGTTAGTAAATTAACTAGTACAGAAATATGATTCGATTTTATAACAAGTTTGCTAAAAAACATTTTTAAATTGTTAGTTGTCGAAGTACTTATGCATCTTGTATCAAAAAGGGGTTTTCAAAATAATGATAGTTCAAAATTTTGAAATAGATACATGTACAACTAACGTTTGGAAGAATTTGAATCTTAACGAGATAAAATTTGTGTGCTGTGCAAAAAGATTTGTGTACCCATTGCAACTTATAATCTTTGGTTTCATTTCAATCTCTTTAGAATCTCTTTACCTTAGTGTTTTCGGTTTTCCCCGTGTCGCTTAGTTTTTCTTATTTCAATCTTTGTCCTTACGTAACATCGTCGACCTTACAATGAAAACAAACACAGGGTATCGACTTCGGTAGCGGTTTACACATGATGAAGGAGATTATTTATCATCATTAACAATGATTTAAGATGAACGTAGGTGATCCTTTTCCTCTCCAGTCGTGCTCACCAGTATTACGAAAAGCGGATATTATGTAATCAACAAGAATAATTTTAGTTTAAAAATGCTCGTGGCACTGAAATTATTAGTTTTACTTATGTATTTAATAAATTTATTAGATTACAAATAATTTATGACAAAATTTAGGAATTTCTTTTGTTTTCTTTTCGTAAATTTAATTGATTATTTTTTATGACTTTTTTATATATGCTGTACGTTAAAATTTTATCCCGCCTATTTAAAGGATAACTAGAGGGCGTAAAACGTGGGGTTGTTTACACAGGAAGAGAATTTCTAAAGTAAAACAAACGGGAACGCTATGAAAAAACGTTATTTTTCTTCGTCCACGGTAAACGGCAGGGACACCTTGTTTTATAAATTCTTTATATTTTCATAACAAGTTGTAAATGGATAATGATTATGCGTTTAGATTTATACATTTATACGATTAGTGGAATATGTAGCCGAATGTTCGAAGACCTAACCTAAAATAATGACGTTTATTTGCCGCATAATCAAAGGACATTAAAGGAAAACAATTATTTGTCTCACAAACTTTGTTATTACATATTAAACTTATTAAACTATTAAACTTAGATTTCTGGGTATTATTACGGTAAATCATGTGGATATGGGTATTGCATTTCTTCGTGCTAATTGGTTCGGTTAATTAGAATACGGTTGAGCATCATATTCTCGTTTACGTAAGCATCTGGCATCGTGTTTTTAATATAAATGGAATAAAAAAAAAAGTTGTAAAGAAAAATATAAACGATCGTGTTTGTATTTACGTGATGATGATAAAAAGTGTTATGATATAATATTATGATCTACGATAATATAGAAAAATAATATGACTTTATTTCTGTTTGTAAAATATATATCTGAGCATATCAATAATTCACAAAAGATTTTACTTCTTTGTAATTTCAGGAGGAACACAGTTTGGAGCTAGAACGTCTTACTGAAGAAAACGAAGCTCTTCGAGCCAGGCTTAGGGACGTAGCACATTCACCTCTGTCAGACTCAGAGAAACAGCAATTACTTTTGGATGCTTCAAGATTACACAATTCTGCTCCAGCATCAATAGCAATTCCCCAAGATGAAGGATCCATACCTGTCACAAGCATACCTCAAGATAATGCCCAATGTACTACTCCTGATTGGGACAAACATTCTTCTAGTTCTGTATCAGAAGTATCTGTTGCATGTCTGCAGGATAGAATTTTGCAAATGGAAGAAACGCATTATTCAACAAATGAAGAGTTACAAGCAACGATACAAGAATTAAGTGATCTACAAGTATGTGTCAGTTAAAAGGTTTTAAAAGGTAATATAAGTTTGTAACTATAAAATTCTTGTCATTTATAGGCACAGCTTACTGAACTACAAGCTGATAATGAGAGATTAACAGAAGAGAAAGATGTGTTATTGGAGTCACTGTGTAGACAAACAGAAAAACTTGAAGACTCTCGTTCTAAGGTTGATACATTACAAGGACTATTATTAAGGGAAGAGCAGCCTCAAGAATCTTCTAAAGGATACAATACAGAACGAGAACAAAAATTAGTAGACCTTTTAAAAGTAAATAAATTTAACTTTAATTTATCAGACATTATAAGTAGTTACTTACTAAATTAACCAATTGTAGAGTGCACAAGAAGAACGAGAATCCTTGTTGCAAAAACAAGAGGAACTAACATCTGAAGTGAAAAGTTTCCGAGCAGCTGCAGAAGCTAGTGCCGCGGAGGCAGAGCGATTAACAAAATGCATGCACCTATTAGAATCCTCAATAGAAACAGCAAACATCGAACGAAAGCAACTGGACGTGGAATTAGTAGAAGCCAGACAGGACAGTGCAAATCGAAATATAGAAATTAGCAGGTTAGCTACACTATTAGAAAATGCACGAGCGAAGATTGAAGAATTAGAACAATCAAGGCAGTTGGAGAACAAAAGCGAGGCGGATGAACTTTTAGATGCTGCTAGGAGAGAAAAAGACACTCTGGAGACGCAAGCGGCAGCTCTACAAGAGCAATTAGCGCGCTCGCATTGCGATCATGATCGTCTCAGAGATCAATATTCACAACTTCAAGAAGAATATAAAGTACGTTCAGAATAGAGGAAGAGACTAACATATAAAAGTATTTAATTAACATGTAAATTTTAGGTAGCGCGCAATAACGCTAGGTCAGCTATTGATGATCTGGAATATAGGTTAAACCAGCTAAAGGACGAGAGATTGTCTGTGAGTACAGAACTGCAACTTGTGAGAGATTCTCTAGCAGAGTTGCAGGCACAGTGTCAGAGACATCTGGAAGATAAAAGAGAATTGAAGGCTGCATTGAATGAGGCTCAAAGAAGAGAACGTGAAGCTCAGTCACGTCAATACGAATTAGAGCGAGCCTTGGCTGAAGAGCGTAAGTTGAGACAAGAAGAGATTACCGAGTGGGAACAATTTCAAACAGACCTCCTGATGACCGTTCGTGTGGCGAACGATTTTAAAACGGAGGCTCAAAGTGAGTTGGAGCGAGTTGTGATGGAAAATAAAGCACAGAGGGATAAGCTGAGAGCATTAGAAGCACAGCTCGATAAACTGAATAAAGGTAAGGAAACTTCCTTTGAAACCATTTATTTTACATCTAATTTACTATTATCGGCAACTATTTAGAGGTCTGGCCTTTTCACGAATTTTTACACCTTTGAAATATGTTGTTAAGGTCATCATTCCGAACAACTTTTTCTTGTATATATTATTATTGCTCAGCTTTAGTTTCAAAAATTAGTTATGATCGAAAATATATTTCGCTTTGTATATAATGTTCTGCTTGTATTATAATGCTTACAAGTTCTGAATATGACGGATAATTGAAATTTGATATTAAACTTTCAAATTTTTAATTTTTATTTTTAAATGAAATAAAATATATACACCGCTTTAATTATTAGAACAATTGCGAGGGGAGCAGAATAAAAATTCAATATTAGATACACCCTCAAATTTGAATTTCGTTTTATATGGCATATTCTGTTAATATCCTATAATTGTTCTGAGTGATAATTTTGGTAACATTGACAACATGTTTCAAGAGCATAAAAATTTACATAGAAGTCAAGCTTTTAAATAATTGTTGAATATTGAACAAGGACAATTACCTCTAATACACTTGACTTTAATTATTGCGATATAGTGCGGAACTAGAATTTCATTAGTATATTATAAAAAAGATTAATATTTGATATTAAATGCTTTAACGATTACTAAAGGACCTGGAGTACAATGCATGTTTGTTTGTTTTTTTTTTTTTCTTTTTCCCACCCTGCCTTT